ATGAGTAGGATAACACGTGGCTGACTAGGGGAGCAGCCCTGTTCCTTACATAAGCACCCTTCCAGATGTAACGCAAGCAGCATGTGGGGAGAAAGATGGCACAGGAAGTACCATAGTGAACTAACAAGCCTAGCAAGAGAAGAAGCCCTGACGAATTAAGGGATTCTTAGGAGAAGTGTGGGACTAGGAGAGGACTAAAGGATTAAAGGGGGCAGCCATGAACCATGAAAGAAGAGAGTTTGTGATGGATGCAGCTGATGGAAGATGCACATGTGAGGAAGCAGAGTGGGAGCCTAAGAACATAAGAAAGGCCATGCTGGATCAGACCAATGTTCCACCCAGGCCAGTGCTCAGTTCACATGGTAGCAAACCAGCTGCCCACAGGATCCCTCAAGCAGGATGGGTCAAGAGTTCCTCTTGCCCAAGTTCTTCAGCAGTTGGTGTCTGCAGGCAGGCCACACACAGCCAGCAAGGCCTAGTAGCCATGGATAGCTTCCTCTTCTATGAATTTGTCTAACCCCCTTTTAAAGCCATCCCAATTGTGGCAGTGGCAGTCCCAGCTGTGGCAGTGAATTCCATACCTGAACTATGTGCTGTGGAAGAAATACATCCTTTTGTAAGTCTGGAATCTCCCATCAGCCTTATGGGTTCCAGTATTATGGGAGATGGAGAAAAGTATCTTCCTCTCCACGTTCTCTACATGATTATTTTAAACAGCTCTACCATGAGGTGAGACACATGCTTGAGAGACAAAGGCCCAGGTAGGATCTTGTTTAGTCTGTTTCTCTGTGTTTCATAGATTGTTCAGCATCTTCCATTCCATTGTCTCACAGAATCAGATTTTGGGCACATGTGTTCTTATGCACTTGTGAAATTTGCATTTCCAAAAACACAGTGAAACATAATGAAATCCTCCATTATAAAAAATGGTCTGCAAGTCCACAGAATTCATGTGAGTCTGGAAAAGCTAGTCCTCTACAGAACCCATGGGTCATATTCAGAGAAATTTGAATTCTTTTGAATCTGTTACATATTTCTCTGACATCTCTAGGTTGGGGTTTGGCAGTGGCTACGGATAGATATTGAGGTAGCTTCTAGCCATGTCTGCACTCATAGTTGGAGACTGAGAGATGCTTTGCAGACTTTACTTGTAGGTCAGGAATTCTGACCAAACAAACTTGCTTATTGAAGGCAACAACTGCTAGAATCTCTGTCTTCTTCAGGAATCTCATTAAACAAAAAGGCCAAGCTGTAAGCAAGATGTAACACATGTGTGGCTGATGCATTAATAAAAATATTTCACTCCTAATCCTAAACATGTATGTTTGTAAAAAATGAATAAAATCTGAGCAATTTATCTAGGAAATCATGCTTACTTTATTTCATGCATTTATATGCCTCACCATAGTATTTCACAGTTCAGACCTAGGCATGTTTTCTAAGAAAACCCCACTGTGTTTAATGGGCCTTACTCCCATGTAAATGGGTATAAAATTGTGGACTATTTTGTCACCACTTGAAGTTCATTGCCTGAAAACCGTCTGCTTAGGCCATTCCCTCTTGTAAACCAAGTGTATACAGAGCAAATGAGCAAGTACAAATCTCACAGTCCCAGAAACATTATATTTCATCTGCAAGACCCTGAAATAACAAAGAGGGCAGAGTCAAAAGGCTTCCCTTGACAGACAAGTTTTAAATGTGTATTAAGGGTTTTTGAGACACTAAAATAACAACCACCCTGAGAACACAGACAAGAAGACTAGAGGCAATATTTCTTGTGTTGTTCCTCAACCCATTGATTTTTAAATTTTTCCCAAGTAAAGGGCCATTTTTAAAGAGGAACTTCTACTGCTTTTGTAAAGCTTTATACAATCTGCTCAAAAGAAATAAAGCAGAGGGTTTGTTGTTTATTTGTTTTAGAGACTCAACTTCCCTCCTGTAGCAACAGGATATTTACTGCTGAAAGAAAGAAAGCAAGCAAGCAAGCAAGCAAGCAAGCAAGCAAGCAAGCAAGCTGTTTAAAGTTCCAACAGTCACATGCTTGAAAATATGGGGAAACTATTGCCTTTCTGTTTGTCATATCTGTCTCACAACCCCAATCTGTTTCTGGATATTACACATTTTCAGAGAAGCTGGGTTATTTGTGATTTGGGAGAACAAACTTCAGGAAGCCTGATCCAACTTAAATATGGAAATAATGAAAAACTTTGCATCAATAGCTTGATTTCTTAGCATGTGCATGTACAGGGAGAGAAAGGTTCTGCAGCGCCCACCAGAATGCGCAAATTTTGCTAGAGTGGGCCATCTTTGGGTGTAGTTCCATCATGCCCGCAGAAGGCACTTGGAAGCCTCGGAATTCAGAGCACTGGAAGCATCTGGCACAAGATGTGAACTGTGGTGGCAGCAAACTCTGCCCTGCAGGACCTCATGCCCTGCATTTTATCTGGGCAGGCATTTTCATCCAGAATGGTGGAAGGACGGAGGCAGGGAAAGAGATTGGAAATGGCACAACTGGACAGCTTCAACCTCTCAGCTCACCAGCATGCTCCTTTGCTCCCTTTTCCTCCTCAGAGGTTCAGTTGCAACTGGCTGGGAGCAGGAGGAGCTGGTGTGGTTCTTTACATAGAAGCTATGAGGGTCTGGGGGCTCAACCTTTGGCCTCCTTAGGCAGATACTATAAAAAGTAGCAAACTGATCCTTCACTCAGAGGAGAAACAGTATAAAGAAAGGAATATTCATTCGGTTTTTCTAACTGAATGTGGCTTTGAAAAAAAAGATTGTATTGTGGGTTTAAATTGTTGTAAGCAACTCTGAGTGCTCCATGGTTCCTGGACACCAGGAGTGGGACATAACTGTCTACAAAGATAGGTGAAATAACTGTTGTATAACCCACTGCCTTGCATAGTTGGTAGCTAGAAACAGACAACTCATTCAATAACCAGCTTATGTCAGTTTTGCACATACTGTATCATATATCATTTCTGTCAAACTTCTGCATCAGCCTGCAACTTTTAAAGCATTGCTTGAAACAGCATTTATTTCCTTGTGCAATTTCCCATGATATACAAAAAATTGTATGCATCTTTCTAGCTAAGAACATTATTGTAAAATTCAAAGTGTACACAATGGAAAGATAATTGTGTTCTGATCTGCATATTAGTCCAGAAAATGCGGACCAAATGCAATCCAAGCTAAATTTGCCCTGGCCAGATCCCTTATTGTAGCCCATCAAGCTCAAAGTAGAAAGTTAGCCAGACTGTGGGAGATTTTCTGGGAGATTTTCATAAGTCTGTGATATCAGATTGGCCCTTTTTCGCACCTGACTATCCAGGCCAGGACATTTCTGAGATGTTGTATGAGTGATCCAGCTGGAACTCTCTGTGCATCCCAGCAACCTCATCTACAAGATTTCCACTTCATCTTCTTCCAACAAATCACAGATGAAAATAGGAACACTTATGCCCACAGGTAATTACATTTCTATGCCAACAAATAGCCAATGTTCTCTGGGAAGCTTGACACAGTTATTTATTTTAGGGTACAGCCTATGCATGCATGAACAGAAAGACATCTTGTGTTTAGGTACACAGTTTGCAAGCATCTGAATCTGAGTGAAGATGTTTCCTAGCTAGGTTACATGCCCACAGAAAAGAGCTTGCCACACATACACCCACAAATGGTTCAGTGTTATGTCTACAGTGTAAAGCAGTATGTCAATGGAACCAATTAACTAGGAAGGTGACGGGCTCTACCACCTTGGAGGCCTTCAAGAGGCAGTCGGACAGCCATCTGTCAGGTGGCTTTAAGTTGGAGTCCTGCAGAGAGCACAGGGTTGGACTTGATGGCCTTGTAGGCCCCTTCCTCAGAGTTTGAATTAGAATCATAGGCTGAGGTTGAAGAAAGGGCTATGTCCTCAGGGAGGCCTGGAAGATATATGAAAGGGCTCCAAGGGTTCTCACGGAACTGAGATTGATTACCACTGGCTCATCAAACACTTGTGTTGTCTTCAGGCTGCCACTGAGCCTCCAAGCCTGGATGGATACCATGGATGCATGCCGTGTCAGGACGAATCTGCTGTCCACTCAGAGAAAGCTGGAGCCTGAATAACTCCAATACACATGCTTGCATGCTGCTATGACACATGGGTCAGGAGTAAGTGAGCATAGTGATCCAAGCATGTTGCACTAGTCAGGGGCTTGGTAGCTGTATGCTGCACTAGTTGAAGCTTCTGCACTGTTTTCAAATGCATCCCCATGTGCAATAAATTGCAGTATCCCAAATGGAAGACTACCAGGGCATGGATCACCATCATTAACCTAAAATTTAGATGGTAGGCACCTGGAAAGCCTCAAAAATCAGCTGATGAGCTGCATGAGACATTGAGGATCCCATTCTGTAGATGTATGTCAGATTAATTCCAAGTGAAGCAACTCATTTCAACGATCTGTTCTGGGTCCAGATACTTGGACACATGTATAAAGCTCCAACTCCTCTAGCAATTCCTTTATGTGCTTCAGTGAGGAATCAAACCCATAAGCATATATTTAGTTTAATTTTTACAAATGAATCAGCTCTCTTCCATTTAATTAAATGTTCAGTCACTGCATACAAGATAACTGTGTTCACACAGAAGTATATTTTGATCTTGAGACTGAAGTAAAGGTTGCTTGAGGTACTTTTGGAAAACCTATTATCTTATGCACTCTATAACTGTCAACTCTGACCATCTCAAAAAGCTTAACTCTGTGCTTCTGTTTGCCTACTCAAAGTAAACCCAGTAAGTCCCAGATACAAGTCTGTGCAGTGCTGCAGTCTTAGGGATAAAGTCCCACTGAACTCAGTGGAACATACATTTGAATAGATATGCATAGGACTCCCCTTGACCTTCAAATCATAAAAGGAGTGTGAAGACAACTAGTTATTTGTAGTTCTTACATTCATATAGAGATACTATTTCCAAATCTGTACTAAAAAGCAATAATTTAGGAAAGTTTACTTACATTGTATTTTTGAACATTCTGTCTGTGCCTGAAGATCTAAGGATAGAAATGAGAGAGGGGTTGAATACGACACGATAGAGTCTGTCCTAATAGACTAATATAATTTCTTGTAGAACAACAGTGGATGCTAAACAAAGGGTCTGCAGAAATAGGATGAAGTGAAATCATCATTGTTCTGTACCTCATCTATTTATTCAAGAACCAGATTTCCAAGAATGCTTGTGAACATTCGCTTTGCTCTTTGTCAGCTGAGACTTATATTCTCATTCCTTGACTTCTGCCAGCTGTTTTAGGGATGTCTCTGTGCAGACAAACATCTTGTCTCCATAACTGCAAACAAATAACTCCATAACAGAGTTATTCAGCTATCAATCTACAGAGGCTACTGAAGTTTTCAAGTAATATGTTTTACCCCTGGCCTATTATTAAATGTCTTTTATTACTTGTGTGATGTGGTCTGGAATTTCTGCCAATGCTGCAATTTAATCAGTGCCTGACAGTTGGCACTGCTGTCCTGGTTTCCTCCGTGACTTGCAGGAATCAGGCAGCCACAATGCTAACTGCAAATAGGCACTTCACAGATGTTGGCTCCTTCTCAAAAAGTGGACACCAGGAAGCAGATTTCTACATATTCTAGAGCAAAGGAGACAGATGCGGGATTTCACACATCCTGAAATGTCTCCTGGTCCTCTCCAATTTTGTGCTTCTGGTTGAAGCACTGCTGCTTGCTGGTAATACTATTCTTGTTTTTTAGAGTCCTGCAGTAACTAGGCACTGCAAGTCAAAATAAACAGAATCCACCCAAGGCAGCTGCCCCTTTTCTAGACTGGACAGTGCACAAACAGAGCTTCAAACATTGGTTGTCCATCCCTGAAAATGCCACTCTTTACACTTGCTCTGCACCAGCCCAGCAATCATGTAGACTTCTTTCAAATGCACAGGTCCAAGCCAGGTTAGTAGATTATGTAATGGTGTGCCTGCTCCAGACACTTCTAGATTATCTCAGTGATTCTAGATCCATTTCCACCTGGTTTCAGAATCTGGTTTTGGGACAGACATTGCGCTGTTTGCCATTGCTGTCTTTTGCTCTGGATCTGTGTGTGTGGGTGTGTGTGTGAGAGAGAGAGAGAGAGAGAGAAAGCAAGAGAGCAAACCTAAAGGTCTGAGACTAATTCTTAGTCCTACTAGACCAGCAGTGTGGCAAAGTGCATCCCTCCAGATGTTTTGGCCTATTACTGCCATGACCCCTCACCATGTTCTCTGCTGACTAGTGCTAGTGGGAATTGTAGGCTAAATCTGGAAGGACAGATAGTTTTCCGGAAGTTCTTGGAACACAGTTCCCATCATCTCTAATCATTGGGCATGCCGGCTAAGACTGAGGAACATTGCAGTCCAGCAACATCTGACAAGGCCCAGGTTCCATTGCTTTGCACTTTGGATTCCAGTCTTGACACAAGGGCATGATTCAGTCCAGCCTGTCAGGACTTATTAGCTCCGCTCTCATTCTCTCTCCCCACAGCTAACAGTTCAACAATGAACTGAGAGCCAGTGTGGTGTAGTGGTGAAGAGCATGGGACTGGGACTCAGACGATCTGGGTTCTAGTCCCTGCTTAGCCATGCAGCCAACTGGGTGACTTTGGGCCAGTCACAGACTCTCAGCCCAACCTACCTCACAGGGTTGTTGTGGTGGAGATAAGATGGAGGAGATGTAAGCTGTCTTGAGCCCTTTGTAGGAAAAAGGCAGGATATAAATCGAAAAATAAATAAACAAATGTAAGAGAACCCCTTTCAGACATCCTGCGTCCATGGTCAGCCATCCAGTACTGTGACCTGCTCGACCACTTTGATCCAACAGACCATTTCCCCCATTAGTTTTATTTATTCTTTGGGCCTTTTGACCAATTTCCCCCCTTTAAAACTAAGTGCTGACATTTAACTATCTGACCATTTTTATCTCTCATGAATTAAAGCCTGGCAAACATCCTGAATGCTTGGACAGCAAGTTGTTTCAATAAAATGGCTTGTTCTAAGGGCAAACCCATTATGAGATTTCTCCTAGTAACTCCTTTCAGGCCTGGTTCCCATGAGAATCCCCATGATGAAGGTGAATCATTCTGGGGCGGGGAGAAACCAAGTTTGGAAGAAGGTCATTACTTCTGGCCACTGACACCTCAGGGCAGTTCTAGAGCTAGATATGTATGATCAACTTCTGATTTCAGTAACCAAGCTGCATGTAGCCTCAATCTCATTCATTATACATCACCACTCATATTTTATTGCACTGAAACATGTACGTCTTGGTGAAGTGTGTGACAAAAGCTGCATTTCCTAATTTGGTGCCTTCCCTGTCTTTGGAGTACAGTCATTGCATCTTGCTGGCAGATTACAGAAGATGTAATCCAACACATCTGGAAGGTTCTGGGCTGGGAAGGCTGGTCTAAAGCATAAAGCAACACCTCTGAAAAATTAGTTTTAAACCTTTTCCGTTGTTTGCTTCCTTACATTTATATTCCATTTTTCAGCCAACAAAAAGCTGCTTCAAATTAAAGTCCACACAAAAATGCAAGTTAAATACAGATAAGATGGCACATGGGGCAGTTTCTTCTGGCTTCAGCCTGTTGATGATGGAGACCATTTTCCACTTTCCTCTCCAGAGGGAAGATAAAGAAGAACTTGCATATGGATTCAAGGAGGCATAGCATATAAAATGCTGCCTTATTCTGAGTCACAGCATTGGTGTATCTAGCCCAGTCTTATCTACACGCTGAGCAATTGTAGATCTCCGGGGTTTTCAGATCCAGCTTTTCCTAGCCCTATCTGGGGATTGAACCTGGAGACTTCTGCATACCGCCCTTTCCCCATAGTTGATCCACATGAGCAGCCCTTCTGAGGATTCGTAGTCTCGTGTCCCTAGCAATCCATCCATTATTTTTCCTTTAAAATTAATTTAAAAATATATAATGCAGTTAACATACATACAATTAAAATAAAACATAAAAAGCTCTGTGCATCCCACCACTGGGATCATTGGATAGATATTTAATTGTTAGTTCTTTCAAGAAGCTCCATTTCCCCTTCCAAAATTGCAATGAATCTTGTGAAGGTTCAAATCCTTTCCCTTTTAATACAAAATCAATAAATGAACCCCAAATAACAATCATTCTTTCTTATATGCTCTTTTTCACTTTAATATCACCAGCTAATTTGTCATTAATAGCTCTATTCCAAACTTCCCTATAACAATCACTCAAGTGATAATCGTTTGACTTTCTAGTTCCTTGGTACAATTAATCTCACAGCTGTTATTAAGTTTATTAATTCTTTAATATTCCAACTCCATTGTTTTCTATCAAATACTGACAATAATGCTATCTCAGGACATACTTCAATATTTAAACTTAATATTTTACTACATACTTTAAAGCCTCTTTCCAAAACTTCATTATATATTCACCCATTTATTATATTCTGTATGCTCACATACCAGCTGCTTATTCATCTGCTTGAGAATTTTGCCCACTATTGGCATCAAGTTGACTGCTCTGTAGTGTCCTGGATCTACCTGCCTCTCTTCCTGAAGATATGCACAACATTATCCTCCCTCCAGTGTTCTGGCAGCTCATCTGTTCTCCAGGAATGCTCAAAAATGATAGGCAGTGGCTCTAAAATAATGTCCACAAGTTCCTTCAGCACTCAGGAATATATTTCATCTGGCCCTTGAGATCTGAACTCACTTAAAGTAGGTAAGTACTCTCTACTCCTTATTCTGGGCTGCAAATCCCCTTTGTCCCAGGTTGAACTCAGCTGTCATTGTGGAAGAAGAATGAAACAAAACAGTTGTTTCTCTTCATCATCAGTTAACAGATCCTCATCTTCCTTTGTCTTCTTGCTCCAAACATAGCTAAAGGAACCCTTTTTGTTGTTTTAAGCATCCCTTGTCAGCCTCAGCTAATTCTGTGCCTTCGCCTTCCTGAGACCATTCTTGCAGACTTGGGCAACTCTCTCCTATGTCCTCCTTCTGTCTCCTGTGCATGATGTTTTTGTATCTCAGCTCACCTGAGAGCTCCCTGACTAACCCCCCAGGCTTCTTTAAATTTCCTCTGTTTTTCCTTCCCATGGGAATATTGTGATTGTGTCACTAGCATATTGGTTTTCAAGATCACCTATCCCTCTAGAGCTCATTGGTTCCTTCAGGATTTTTATCCACCATATCCCATCCAACTTGTCCTTGAACTTATGAAAACTAAGCTCAGGTTTCACATCCCTCTCTTCCCTGAATGAGATGGTCATTTTCCCCTAAAATACCTGCCATTTTCACTTTATCATTTCTTTCTTGCTAGTGAGCATTAAATCTGGGATGGTAGATGCTCTTGTTCCTTCCTCCACATTCTGAGGGATGATGTTATCAGCAAGGTAAGATTAAATAAAACTTATTGGATATCCACTCTTTGCAGAGTAAGATGTCTATTAGATATCAGGATAGTTGAAATCCCCCAAATCTGCTTTTGCTTGCATCTGTGAAAGCTTTGCCAGGTACTCAAGCAAAGCATCATCTATGTTTTCCAGCTGGCTGGAAGGTCTATGGTAAACTGCCACCGTTCTTGTTTCTCGCTGCTTCTGTATTTGATAAATACTTCCAACAGGGCTTCCATCCTTAGGATCATAAATTTCCATACCAGCCTGTGCATCCCTTACACATTGCACTATTCCCTCTCCATTCCTACTGGGTCTATTCCTTTTGAACAAAGTATATTCTTCAGTAGTTGTATGCCACTCATGAGTTCATCCCACTCTCCTCCCAGAATAAGGAATCATGGACAGAAAAGAAAATATGGAAAACTTGCTTTCTTTATGGACAAGATTAATCAGATCTGTAAATGAAAGGAATTTCTATCAGAGGTAACTGGGTGAAGCTAGTGCTGAACTTTTGGCATCTGCTACGTAGCTTTTGATGTCTTCTGTCACACAATCATTCTACTGGACGTGGAGTGTGGTACTCAAAAAACAAAGGGAGTTGGTATAACAGAACTGGGCTAATATA